ATGTAGATATATTCAAGAATATTCTCTGAAAGGGCGCAGTAATTAAAACTTTAAACGCGTTTATTTCAAAACTGTGTTTTCAGAGTGAGAAAGAGGTGAGAAAAATTTCTACAAAACCGCTAAACCGGTCGGTTTAAAATTTTCACACGACTTACTCAGATATATTTTTCAGGTAATGAAACCTTATTCCTTCGAATAATTCGATTKTGGACAATAATTTCGATTTTTTAAGCCACTTTGAAGTGAAAAATTTTCATGAAAAACTGAATTTTTTTTTTTTAACAGCCACCATTTTGTCAAAAATCAAAATTTTGACTAGACCTTCGATCATTACCTATATTTACTTATCACAAAAYTAAATACTTTTGGTTTTGAAATAATTTGGACCAGAGATATCTTGCTCACCGCCAAGCACTTTTTTGGACGTCTCACCGCAGATCATCTACAGGAGCTAGGGCATCCAATATTATTTTTTAAATAAACTGCTTGTTAAAGTACATTAAATTCTGTTTAGGTACATTTTTTCCATTAATGTATAAAATGCTTCTTTGGAAAAAATTCACTAAAAAACGTGTTTTTCTGCCTCGCAAGTGGACATAACCCCTTAATAGTCATGAGATGGCTTAAAGTGACTATTTTTGCAAAGTTTAAAACAATAACAGCATTGAATCTCGAGTTATAAACAGTCAAATCAATATTATATGTGGAAATTAGGCGTGATTACAGACCATTTTCGACCAATTGTCCAGCGGTGTTAGTTAGCTCATTCGTTAGTTGACTGTCGACGCGGATATTTTCAGTGTTTTTTCTTTCGGAATTTTTTTTTTTCGATTTCCTTTGGTGCGGTAATTTGTTTACGCGATTTAGCTGGCACCGTTATTCCCTGGCGCGTTTGCGTAACGGTCTGTTGAATTTGTTTGTGCGTTCGTGGGTTAGTGACCGCGAGTGATTTTGTGCGGGTACACAATTTTGTGCATTTTGTGTACTTATAGTGGTAAGTAATTTTATTATTACTTATTATTATACGGACAACGTGATCATCCACGTTGTTGTTATTGGCGGAAGCTTTGCACGGTTCCAGTGCAGCACCGTGTTGTTGGCATTCTTGCTGACTGAACTGCCTGACAGTATTTCTGTGCTGAGCATCTGGCGCTTAGTTGGCTCAGTGTCTGGAAGATCTGGACAGGATTGCCCAAACGGTGGAAGCGTCTGTGCAGCGTTGGAGATTGCGACTCCTGCGAGGAACAACAGTCATAAAAGCGAAACGTTTAGGAAGAGGAGGACGAAGACCCTCGCTGGAAACGGAGATTCCGCCGCTTCTACAGTCGTGGATGACACCGTCGGGTGGTGAAGGGGATACGACGGTAGCGGTAAGGTCTCCACAGCGTAGTAAGGCGCGTTTGGGGTCGCCGCGTCTAGAGGACGGGAGTAAGGGAGGAAGCGGTAGTTGTGGCGGGAGTGCCAACATGGCCACCGCTGAGAAAGCGGTAGATGCCCTTAGGGAAAGTTGTGGGAGACACTCCTTGAGCACCGACGCCTGCACCTCCAGCGCCTGTGCTGGAAGCAATTACACTGGTGATGCCGAAGCCTATGGAGACCTGGTCGATCGTGGTAAAAGAGGTAATTAAAAAAGTGGTCAAAGAGGTGGGTCCCTCACTTGGAGTGAGGATCCACGAGTCAAGGGTGGTGGGGCAATTATTCAGAGAGCGAGAGAGTTGCGAATAACAGCAAATTTGGGGAGGTGGGGTTGGACGTCTCTGTCAACCGGAAGTTGTGTCGTCGGGTTGTAGTCTAGGGGGTCCATACGGAGATTCCCCATGAAGATTTCATGGAGGGGCTACTTCGGCTGAACCTCCAGGATTTGAGCCCGGCGTCSCAGAGGTGGGACGTAAAGATGGTCAGTCGTCCCTGGAGGGTGACCTCTGACGGTAGCACCAAAGTCGTCCTTGAGGGTAGTGACAAGTTGATGTCCGGSCTCCTGGAGGCAGGTAGGTACTACATAAAGTGGTTCTCCTTCCGGGTGCGACCGGATAGCCCCGTCACTGCCTGCCCCATATATTGTGGTCTTGTTGAGCGCGCCCTCGCTAGACATTGATGGGTGGGATCATCCAACTTAACTGTCAGGGCTCCTATGCCGTGATGTGTGAGTTGGGGGTTGTATGGTTGAGGGTGTGGTACGGGGTCTCCGTGGGGGTTTTAAAGTCTTCACTGACCTTAGAGCTAACGCCGCAATAGTTGTGAATAATTCACGCTACGATTGCGTAGTTGTGGATTCTTCACAACTGGGTATATGTGTAGCTGTAGAAGGGGAGTTCGGTAGGATGATTGGCGCTAGTTTATATTGTAAATATAGCGAGCCCCAAGAGCCCTACCTGGGCTACATGGATAAGCTRCTACTACTTGTGAGTAGTAGCCCATTTATCCTAGGGCTGGATGCGAATGCCTCGTCCTCGATGTGGTTTAGCAAGGTATCCCGGCATTCGTCTGGATACCAAAGCCACAGTCGAGGTGACGCATTAAGCGAATGGGTGGTGGCTAAAAGCCACGGCAGCAAGTAGGGCTTTCAGTGTTAGAGGGGTGGTTAAGGGAGGGTGGGGATTGAGTGATCATAATTTGATTAAAATTATAATCATAATTTGATTAAAATTGATTAAAATTATGATTACCCCTCAATCCTCTCTCTTGCCTTACGAGAGTCCATTGCGGCGATGGCGTACCTCTGGTACTGACTGAAACCAATATGGACTCTCCGTTAGGGATGCGGTGTTGGGAATACCGCTTAGAGTTTTAATTTCATAATAAGTGCGTTTGGGAGGGATACTTTCCACGCGAATGGAAAAGTGTTAGGGTTGTTCCTCTCCTGAAGTCCCCCGATAAGATCAGGAGCGATCCTCGATCTTATCGGGGCATGAGTCTCCTTCCAGTACTTGGAAAAGTGCTGGAAAAAGTCGTGGTGGAACGGCTCCAGGAGCTAACGCGGGGTATATGGGCGGATAGGCTGTTTGGGTTTCGGAAAGGATACAATACAGAGGATGCTTGATTCTATGTTTACAATGTCGTTAGAGAGAATGTCAATGGCATATCTGTTGACTTCAAGGGGCGTTTGACTACCTAAGCTGAGATCTAGTGGTGCAAGGGCTGGAGGAAATTGGCTGTCCGGAAAGTAGTTGTGGGGGTGGACATATCGAGGGAAAAAACGGTGACAATGCTGCTTAAGGGCAGATTGTCACCGGTTTGTTCACCAATTGTCCGTGTGAATGTTGTCAGCATCAGATATGTGACGCAAGTCAAATATCTGGGGTTGACCATGAGTGAGAGGATGTGTTTTACTCCACACTTGGCGTATGTGAAGGAGCGACTGCAGGCAACCGTAGGCAAAATACACCGAATTCTGAGGAGCGATTGAGGTCTCGGACGTCGTGCTGTCCGCACCATATATCGTGGCTTGTTTGTGGCCTGTGAAACATATGGAGCCCATGTTTGGTGGGAGGCAGCCACGACTGTCTGGGGGTCTCACAAACTCCTCTCAATCCAGCGTTGTATGATGCTTGCTTGTTTGCCTGTATGTCGCAACGTCTCAACGGATGCGATGCAGGTTTTATTAGGTGCATCCCCTCTTGACCTGAGTGGGTTGAGTGTGTCGTTGCTGCGGAACGATTGGATTTCCGACGATGTGGAGAGGGAGAGATATCGAGGGAGCAAGAGGCTCCTAGATGATAGGGTTAGGTGTAGGTGGCAAGAACGTTGGGACAGTACCACCCTGTGCCAGAATAAATATGTACAATTTTCGTTTTTGCTTTCTACAACTCAAAAGCTAACGACTATTTTATTCGAAAATTGGCTTGAAAATCCGAAAATCGAGTTACGGAATATAAAAAATGCGAATTCGAGTAAATTTTGTTTCGAATCGAGTTACAGAATAGGCCCCCACACTTCAGATTTTATCTGAGTCTGGGTTTTCTGCTTACGGGGGATGGGCCTCTGAATGCGTTTGCTCGTGAATTATTTAAGCGGAGGAGGCGGTTAGTTGGAAATTAGGGTTAGATTTGTATGATTGGTGTGTGTATGTGATGTATGTATGGGGTCCAACCCCTGGCCACCAGTCCAGAGCTGTATGGAGTCTGGTAGTAGTTTCGGCTACGAGGTCTGACCGGGTACTTAATTCTGGTACCACGGGGAGCAGGAGCCGTTGGAGGTAACTCCAACCTGCTCATGCGGACTGGCGCCTCGGGGAGTATTGTGGTGGTTGTGGTTAAAACCCAAATGCGGGAAGAACTGACTTCGTCAGTTGAATGTGGAGTTGCATAGCAACCGGGTGCCGGACCCAAAGCACGGCAGAGGTTTTAGATGGGACTCGAACCCGACAAAGGTGGTTAGTGTGTCCATTCCACACTGTAAGTAAGGCTGTCCGTCAGCAGGTACCCACGTTAAACACACCGGACGTTGTCGAGGGAACGGCCACTTTTTCACTTGGTATATTAAAATACACACTCTTAACATTAAAATAAGTTCATATTTCACTTTTATTTTGTTATTTAAATAATTAAAATTGTTTACACTTATGAAGGAAACGAGCGTTGACACATTCTAAATACCTAATATGAAGGATAGTTCAACTACTGCGTCTTCTTATACAATTTCCAACATTTTTAGGCTATAATTGTATATGTAAAGTACTCCTTTCAGCGTTGGCGACCTTCAACCGCGCTTTAAAAAAATTACCCTGGTCGAGCCAATACCCTGGTTCAAAGGTGGCCACATTAGCCCTCAGTGGCATTTGGAAGATGGAATGGATAGCAACGTTATTTACCACTCTGCGGGAGCTGTAGCACATGAACATTTTCATTGGCAGCATTCATTTTTTGTTCTCGCTACAGCTATAGTTTTTACCTAACAAAACTCGGAGTAGAGTAGAGCACATACTTTTACCTAGTTATTAATTTATTTATTTAACGCCAGTCGGCACTATACATCTAATAATACATTTGCATAGCTCCACATTCCTTACAATATCAGCAGATTGATGATGACCAGCTTCGCTGGGGCTCATTGTATAGATGTCTTTGAAGTAAGATGCGAATATATTACTAATCTGAGCACCCGAATGAGCGGTTAGGTCATTCCATGTCATTGTAGCTGGGATTCCCATGTCGGTACCCCTTTTGTGCTTGACAAACCTTGAATTCTGGAGGTCTTGTCTGAAGAGACTAGATTTTCCACTTTATTAATGTATAACATGTAGCATATTGTACTTAATTTCTTGCATTCGAGTCTCAGTTGGCTAAAACATCTATAATTTGACTTAGGTTTATTTCTCCTATATCTGATATGCGCAGATTTCTTCAATTTCAGTCACGAAAGCAAGAGTTTCGTTGATTGAGAGATCCAAATTACTGTAACATAAATCCAACAGCTTATTATTTTTATTTAAGATTTGATTGAATTGTTGACACTCAATCAGAACATTGGTATCGTACAGCAGCTTCTCGCAATCAAAGCGTGATGTACTGCTGGGCAAATTGTAGTCTCCTACTATCATGATCCTTTAATCCGGAAATTTTTCTCTAAAATGTATTAATGATTCAGTATGGGCATATTATATCTCATAATTAGATTGTGGTGGTATATATACACACCCAATGATGATACAAGCATTATCACCTTTGATCCTTATGAAGATCTGCTCTAGGTTATTGTTCCCAATGGATATGAGCTCAGCTTTAATTGTTCGTTTAAAAGCAATCAGGACACCACCTCTTCTCTAGCATCCTGTCGAAGTATCCCTGTCCTTCCTAAGTGTGATATAGGAGCTATCGATCAATTCATTATTTTGAATAGATGAGTAAAGCCAGGGCTCTGTGATACATATTACGTCGTACGAACTACTTGCCGATGAGGTTAGGAACACGCTCAGTTTTGTCCTTAGACCGCGCATATTCTGGTAGAATACTTGTAGCTGCTTTAAGTTTCCTTTCCTCGACGACTTGGTAAAAGTTTGTGTTAACTATTCTAGGCGTGTGACTGTCATTCAGCAATCTAAGTTTTTCCCTCAGTGATAGCAATTGTGACTGCTGAGCCGGAGTGAGATCTGACTTGAAGGTGACTCGTGTGTTAGSATCAGGATTTTAGTATACTAGCTTGAACGAATTCACTTTGTCATGGAGCTCTTCGGAATAACAGATGATAGCCTCTATCTTTTTCTAGACGTACGTGACCGTCTACCGCCTTGGATTCGGTAATATTAAATGCGATCACATTGGCTTCCCGCTTTTTACGCTCATTGATCTCGGTAATGACCTCCTCTGGAGGAAGTGAAGAGAATGAACTTAGTTTGTCTTCTATTTCCGCAACTCTTTTATCCAAATGTGAGCACTTTTTCGACATAGCCTCGTTCAGTTTATTTATCTCACTCCTTATATCTGAGAGGTTACCCTCAATAGACTACGGGTCTATTGAGTTGCGGAAATAGAAGAGCTCTTAAATTTATCAAACTTTTATACCTACAGACAGTTTTATATATGTATCTGCATATATAAACAAGAAAAGATACTTGTGACCATAATATATATTTTGTTTAAACATATTGCAGTTCCATTTGATGAAAATGCATATATAAATATATAATTTGTTATATTTTCAGTTTGGTTGTTTTATCAAAATATTCGAAGAATTGAGGTTTTATTTCAATAATTGTTTTGTTAAAATTGTAACTTTAAAAATCTAAGTTGCCTCTGGAAATGTATAAAAATAATAATACGGGCTATAGAAAGGGAACACATATTTTCAAAAATATAAGAAGTCATCAAATAAAAATATATTTTAAATAAATATATGTTGCAGCAAGATTGTCGTTTCGAGATATCCTAGTAACGCAGCGAGTTTCGGTTTGTCAGTTTATTTACTATGTTCACTTTRTCCACTTTGCTCACTAAGTTCTAAAACACAACTGAAGAAGGAAGCTTTCTGTGCTTGCCACCGAACCACACTCGGCGACAGAGTCACCACGCTGACGGCCTGATAAAATGGTACTTTCCAAAGCGACAACATGCAGACAACCAAACGCAGCACAATCAACGGCTGATGCAATAACGAAGAAGTTAGTCTTCTAATGAAATTCCCTAAACTGTATACACATACACTCACATACGCATACCAATATCCACACATCCTGACCAATACACGACCTCGTGCAATTTTACCAAAGATGCTTTGTTACCAATTAACCAACTTATAAAGTTTATTCAATTATAACTTCTAATGTTTCATCTAAACTTATAATTTCCATTACAATTTACATTTTTTTTTTTTAAACTAGTACAAATTGTTTTCGTTGACACAGCTCATCATGTTTTTTTTGTTTTTTTTTTTTGTTTTTACATTCTTATTATCCATTCAGGTTTCACATTGTGTTATCTAATGCGCCACACGCCATGATCAAAACAATTGTTTTGCACTTGTGCTTACATTATAATTACAGATTTCATTATTATTACAAATTTCGTTTTTAGCCCTTAAGGCACCTATACTGTCTCTTCCAACAGTTTCATTCTACATGCTTTCATTACTGTCTCTTTCAAGGGTTTCTTTTTGCATGCTTCCGTTACTGTCTCTTTCAACAGTGTCTTTTTCAACTATTTCATTACTTAAATCCTTATCACAACTTTCAAACTCARCTGGTATTTGCCCAATTGGCATTTTTCTTATGTCATCATGAGCATATTTATATTTTCTATTATTTGTCAAAGACCTGAGCATATATATATTCCCCTCTAACAATTCGGTTATTTGAAACGGCCCTTTAAACTTGGGACTTAGCTTTGTTTGATGCCTCTCTTCATTTTTTAATAATACGAAATCTCCAACCCTGCATCCTACAACTTTAGCCTTGTTTCTATCAAATTGTTCCTTGTTATATGCTGCTGCAGTTGAAATATTTTGCCCTGCTCGTGCTCTCACCTCTGCCAAGTCGATCTCTTCTACTATGTCGCAGGGTGGAAGCAACYCCAACGGGCGGGCAACTTTGTCGACAAMCAATTCTAAGGGACAAGTCGCTCGACTAGCCGTACAGTTCAAAGCTAATTGAACTTCCCCTAATGCATCTTGCCAAGATCGATTGCTAGTTTCAACGGCAGTTAATAAGTTCTTTAAGGAGCTCATAATGCRTTTAACTTGTCCGTTTGCTCTACTTGCACCTGTCGCAATCAAATGCAAATTAATTTTTTGTTGTGAACAAAACTCACTAAATCTAGTGCTGGCAAAACATCTGCCCTGATCCGCTATCATGCGATCCGGTACTCCAAACAGAGAAGTAGCAGACGTGACAGCATTTATGCAATTTTCAGCATCAAWTTTAAGCGTGTGGTTAAATAAACAAATTTGGTAAAGGTGTCCACCTGAACAAYGATATACTCTTTCTGATCAGACTTGCCATTCAGCTTTCCAGTTATGTCGATGTGAATGGTGTGCCAAGGTGTATTTACTTTTGGTATTGGACGAAGACTTGCTTGAACTTTACCCGAAGAAGACTTTGACATTTTACACGTAATGCAGTTCTCGACAAACTTTCGAATATACTTGGACATGTTATCAAACCAATAATAGTCGTAGGCCTTATCTAAGGTCTTCTCCCATCCCAAATGCATGATGGACTCATGGATCTGATTTATTACGGACCATCAAATGGTCGAGGATCAATTGGTAAGGATCGAGTTCTACCATTTCGCTGAATTTTTCGATATAATATTCCTGCCCTCAACTCGTAAGTTTTAGCAATATCCTCTGCAAGAGAATTTTCTTTTACTTTATTTACAATATTAGCTATTTCAGAATCTTGATGCTGTTCAGCCAAAAGCCAGTTGTCAGATATTTCTGCCAAATTAACTCGTTTTTCTGAAATTTTGAAAGTCAACTCTGCTGAAGGCATGAGACTTTCGTTTACCTTCTTTATATTGTATGTCAAACGTAAAAGACTGTAAATACGCCCACCATCTTTGTACCCTGGGACATAGATCCTGTTTAGTTCTTGATGCTTTAAGTGAGTTACAATCAGTAAAGACAACAAAATTTCTACCTAATAAATAGTGGCGAAAATGTTTTATAGACAAAACAACAGCAAGAGTTTCCAACTCATAAGAATGATTCCCTGATTCAGCAGGAGAAGCAGCTTTACTAAAATATTCAATGACATGCGATTTGTTGTTGATTTTGTGTAACAAAATGGCACCGTATCCCCGAGAACGTGCATCGGTATGCAACTCAATAGGGTGGTTCGGATCAAAAATTACTAAGACTGGCTTTTGCGTCAGGATAGAAATAACTTTTTGWCTAATTTCTTCATGTTCCGATCTCCAAACAGAATCATTCTTCTCCGAAGTCAAAAGATATAATGGTTTCATAAAACAGGAGAATCCTTTTATAAATTGCCTGAAATAAGACGCCAATCGAATAAATTGGCGTAAAGCAGAGGCTGACTGAGGAGGTGGCAAAGTGGTTAACGCTGTAACTTTACGCGAATTCGGGCGGATTTCACCTGCACTCACTTCATATCCCAGATATTGAACTGTTGACTTGAGAAAAGAAAATTTTTTTATATTGAATGAGAATCCAGCATTCGTGAGACAATCAAGAGTGATTTGCAACCTTTCCAAAGCCTCACTTTTTGTTGCAGCAGCCACCATTACATCATCCATATAAACGATAACAAACACAAACGTATTTGCAAGATCTCCAARTGTCTGCATAACTGTGCGTTGAAATATTGAAGGTACATTCCTGAGCCCAAAAGGCATTGCCAAAAATTCATAATGCCCATCTGGAGCGACAAATGCTGTACACTCTACCGGTTCTTCATGCATGKGAATTTGATAATACCCACTTGCAACACACAAACGATGAGTGCCGTCTTTTTTATTAACCAACATTATGGAACTAGCGTAAGGTGAGTAACTTGGCGTTATAATTTTACATTGCAATAATTCATTAATCTTGTCTCGTACCAATTCTCTTTCATTTGGGCTAAGCCTATATGGTCGTCTTTGAACAGTTTTTCTTGGGTCTACTAATTTAATTTYCATTTCACCCGAAATAACTCTACTCGAAGGAATTCCCTTAATAAAAGATTTTGAKTAWTTTTCCAATAAATTTTGTAATTTATCTCTATCTTCCYCAACAAGATCAGTATTTAATTCACAAAATTTCTCATCATTTGAACAAAAGTTTACAGTTTTTGATCCAATAATTTCGAATTTTCCTGGTGATATTATAACATTAAATCCAGGGGACAGTACTTCTCGACCAATAATAATATCATTTTTCAAATATTCATTGTCTACAACATGAAACAACACTTCAATACAGTGCTGACCAATTCTTACGTTGCTAAGTATCTGTAACGTGCTACATACGCCGTCACTGCCAATACCCTTTAACATCACTACATTGTTAATTYTCTTACCAACTAATTTGATACTTATCTTTTGTTTTATTAATGAACATTCCGCTCCAGAGTCGAATGTTGTTATAAACGTCTGACCATGATGAATCATCTCTCCTTTGGGCTCAACAACATCGCATRGCTCCACTCTTTTCGTCTGGTGTGTATCCTTGACCTCATCCATTTTAAACTTACTGCAATGTGTTGAAATATGACCAAGTTCACCACACTTAAAGCAGGTTACATTCGCTYTTTGCTGGTGGCCAAATGCACTCCTTACGCTACTATTCATAACACGAGACGAAGGATGATCTTGATGTTGTCTAGCTCGACATTCCATTAACTTATGGGCTAATTTTCTACAGAAATGACATTTGATTGTTGAAAGTTTCGGACGCTTCTTTTTCTTCCTTTTGTTGAACGTGRAAGCTTTAAGTTCGGTTTGTAATTCATTTCTGGTGCGCATATTTGAAGTAAAGGTTAGGYGCTGCAATCTGTTATCAACATGAGCCATCTTCGCAAGCGTCACATAAACTGCAATTTCCTCCACGTCCATGTCGCGCCATTTTGTGGTAAGTGACGTCACCATACGACTAGCATAATTGGAGTGGCACTCGCCATCGGTCGGACAATTAGCTAACATTGACAGAAACATAGCCACTGGCGTCTCTACACTACMAAAACGCTGCAGGAAAAGTTCTTTAAATTCGTCCCAAGTTATGCCAGGATAACATATTTAGGAAAGCCACTGCGACGCACTGCCTTCCAACGATGCACTCAAGGCCATCACCAACGCGCTGCCTTTTACGGTATTTTCCGTCAAAATTATATTTGCTGTGGAACACCATGCCGACACGTCGGCGCCATCAAGGTCTGCGTTAAATTTGGRTAGCGTAATTGTTTTTTTATTTGTTGTTTCGGGTGTCGATGATTGAACAGCCTTGATAAGTTGAATCAAATTTTTGTTTTGCATCTCCATGACAACTCGCCATGGCCCATTTAATTCGTTAGGTAGCGAGCCAGATCCCACTTCTGATGTTGCAGCAAGATTGTCGTTTCGAGACATCGTAGTAA